AGTTGCTTTTGGTCCCCCTACCTCATCTTCACAATGAAGGTGATGCCATCAATGGATGTTTGTGTATATCTTTCTGGGTTTAAGGCACATCATGAAACTAAAGGTGTACATGGACGTAGGCATATAGCTCGCATTTGGGACTGCTAATAGCACAGTCTTGTGTAAGCTATTTCCCACAATTACATGGTATATGGGAAACAGATGGAATCATGACACTAAAGGTGTACATGGATGTAGGCATATAGCTCGCATTTGGAACTGCTAATGGCACAGACTTGTGTAAGCTATTTCCCCACAATTACATGGTATATGGGAAACAGAGCTCCAGCCTGGCCCCAATCTGTGCCCAACTGGACTTTTTTTGGTCTAGATGAAGAGCTACTGCTTTTACCAGCTGGACTGGAGCAATTTACTAACAGACAGAAGAGTCACTTTAAGGAAGATTGCTCCTGGCAAAACGATCCTTTCCAATGCAATCAGACATGTGCCTTTCCTGACTTCTGATCGCACTCTGACTCCCCTCCCCACTGCTATTCTGTCTTGTTTCTGCATGAGCCTTAAGCAGAAAATATTTATAGGAAAGCATACCCATAGATTTTAAAGGGTGTTGTGTTAAGATTTGCATATATTTGGGGAAAGAGGGGGGATAACCACATAAAGACGTCAACAAAGCTTACCTTTCCAGGGATAGTTCAGTGGTTTTATTGATTGCACAAAGATGTAGCTACAATGTTGGCCAATCAAGACAGATGTGCTAGTGACACACCCTTATCCATAATGAAACCACAGTTTTCTATTAGTTAAAAGTTCTGGCTCTAGATTTCTATGAAAGTAGGACAACCGGTGGAAACATCAATAGCTTGAGAGCATTTCAGGTCCATTGTCATCTTGAACAAAATACACATCCGACTGAATAATTGTCCAGCCATGTGGAATTGTATGAAGCATCTACAACTTGACAGCTCTCCCTTTCCTCTCTCATTTATATTTCTAAAAGTCAACGAAACTGACTTCCTCATTGTCTGGTTTAAGATATGTGAACCATTGACCCATAGAATTATAAGCCCAAATTCCAATTGTGTCATTTGGAAAAGAGAGAGAAAATGTGTAAGAGAGAGAGAGAGAGAGAGAGAAGGGAAATGTAGAAATGTTGGGGTTACAAGTTATTTCTTGCCACTGCTTTTATTTTCGAGGAGCAGGAAAGGGAGGAATTGAAGAGAGAGGAGTTGACAATACAATACAAAGTGGTTTTTGTGGTGATAGAAGAACATGGGGCTTCCTCTTCTCAGAGAGTTCCCTGAATATGTGTGTTGGGAGGCTCACATTCCACGTTCAAAACCTGCTTCATTTAAATCCCCACAATTCAATTCTGAACAAGGTTTAGTTTAACTCTTGCTCCAGACCGGTCTAGTCTGCTAAACTATACAAACAATGGCAACATATTCAGTAGATCAGAAGAGAACTGTGCAGCCCTGCCCTATACTCCCTTTCCCTTACTTAAAACAAGTTAATAAATTATATATTTGTAATATTTTACAAAGTAAAGTGCTTCTTTCACTGTGTCAGTAATCCTTTCAACAATTCTTTAAGAAATCATACCCACCTTGTGTTTGGTGTGAGGCTAACAGCCAGTGCATTATCTAAGCTCGTATAGTAGGTTTATGGCTGGAATGAGATTTGCAACAAGAATTTCTTGGCATTACAGCTCTGCGGCACTTTGTTCTAGAGTCTTAAGTCAGACTTTTGAAGTGTCCCTTTGTTTGCTGTTGGTAATAATTGTTTAACCATCTTCAACCTTGGCAGTAGATGTGTTTCACCTGTTTCCACCAGCAGGGACTGCCTCTTCTGTGATGTTTGTCAAAGAAGAGCATTGGTATGGCTTCCCACCCAGATCTCTGCTGCATTGTAGAGCAAGATGGGGACTGCACATCACCAATGATGAAAAGGCAGGGTGTTCTTGCTGCTTCAGTTTTGGAAATGTTAACAAACACCATTTTTATAGTTCCCTAAGGATTGCATTGGGAACAAAGAAGACATGTGCTGACATTCATCCTTCAGTGGAATTTTTTTCCTGTAGTTAAGGTTTTGGCAATTTTATTTGGTAAAATGCAGTGTGGCACGTCGTCTAGTTGTTTAGTCATGTCCGACTCTTCATGACCCCATGGACCAGAGCACGGCAGGCCCTCCTATCTTCCACTGCCTCCCGGACTTGGGTCAAATTCATGTTGGTTGCTTCAATGACACTGTCCAACCATCTCATCCTCTGTAGTCTCCTTCTCCTCTTGATTTCACACTTTCCCAACATCAAGGTCTTTTCCAAGGAGTCTTCTCTTCTCATCAGATGGCCAAAGTATTGGAGCCTCAGCTTCAGGATCTGTCCTTCCAGTGAGCACTCAGAGTTAATTTCTTTCAGAATTGATAGATTTGTTCTCCTTGCAATCCCGGGGGACTCTCAAGAGCCTCTCCTCTTTCACCCTCATTATGAGGTTCCTTAATTCCTCCTCACTTTCTGCCATCAGTGTGATATCATCTGCATATTGGAGGTTGTTGATATTTCTTCTGGCAATCTTAATTCCCGTTTGGGATTCCTCCAGTCCGGCCTTTCTCATGATGTATTCTGCATATAAATTAAATAAGCTGGGGGACAATATACAGCCTTGTCATACTCCTTTCCCAATTTTGAACCAATCAGTTGTTCCATATCCAGTTCTAACTGTTGCTTCCTGTCCCACGTATAGGTTTCTCAGGAGATAGACAAGGTGGTCAGGCACTCCCATTTCTTTAAGGACTTGCCATAGTTTGCTGTGGTCCACACAGTCAAAGGCTTTTGCATAGTTAATGAAGCAGAAGTAGACATTTTTCTGGAACTCTCTGGCTTTCTCCATAATCCAGTGCATGTTAGCAATTTGGTCTCGAGTTCCTCTGCCCCTTCGGAATCCAGCTTGTACTTCTGGGAGTTCTCGGTCCACATACCGCTGAAGCCTACCTTGTAGG